AAAAAAAAAAAAAAAAAAAAACATATCAAAGTTAAAAACTCTCCACTTACTAGAGCTTTAAAACAATAGATATTTAAGATTTTTTATTTGTTTGTTTTACCAAAAATAACACTGAAGTATTACCTGTATCATCAAAGCCAGTAGTCAAATTTGTAAATATTAACCATTGCACTAGTGCTACAGGTGAAAATAGTCCTCTCTTTTTTCACCTGGTTTAGCATTTTCCTAAAGATGAAAGTATAAATTTATGACTTGGTTTGAGAAGGTTTATATCTTTAATTGGAACCTATGGAGTCTAAAAGTACTGAGAAAAGTACTAATGCATTTCTGGTGTTGGTCTTAATGTGAAAGCTATTGACAGCAGTTCACAAGGGTTTAACTGCACCATAAAAAACTTTCCTTTGTTAGTCTTCTCTGGTGCAGGAGTCAGAGAAAAGTATAGTGCAACAATGGAGGACTTACATGCAGACAACAAAAGGGATTCAGACTAGAGTCTTGATGTTTGAATGCTTTCATTTACATGCTGGCGCTGTGCAGACAGTACAAAAGTGTGCAAAATTGCAAACATTTCGGTCCATGTTGGACTTTCCACAGTGCAGAATTAGGCATGCATGAAAAATTGCCTTTTATGTGGGCTACTCTGCAGGTGCACCATAGTCATCAAGGCTTGTTAGAACACACATGAAGCCAAATGCCAGTAGCTCAGGTAATTACAGACATGCCAAAACAATACAACTCCACAGCACTGATAAAATCTTATGCATGCACCAATCAGCTAAAACATTATCACCACTGAGGTGAAGTGAATCACATTGATCACCTCGTTACAGTGCAACATTCTGCTGGGAAACCTTAGGTCCTGAAATTTATATGGATCCCACTTGACAGGCTCCACCAACACAAACATAGTTGCAGACCATGCCATGGCAATAGCCTTTCGAGCAAGACAGTGCACCATGTCACACTGCAAAAACGGTTTGGGAATGGCCAGAGGAACGTGACAAAGAGCTCAACGAGGAGTGCCATTGCCATGAGGGGAGGTAGTTGGTCTGCAGTGGTGTTTGGGTGTGTGATGCGTGTCAGGTGGCATCCACGTGAGTGCCCAAGGTTTCCCAGCAGAACAGTGCACTGCAAGGAGATGATCAGTGTTATTCACTTCACCTACCAGTGGTTTTAATTTTTTGGCTGATAGGTGTACATAGAAATGTTAGCTTGATAACTGGGAATGGGACTCACTCGGACAGAAAGACAATAAGATAGAGACACAGAAAACAGTTCCTATCTGGTTCTACATTTAGGCCACTGGGGTGTAGCGTTTAAAGGTAGAAAATATATCTGCATTCACATTGGAGTAAATGTTGATCCACATTCCCACCATGACGTTTAGGAATCTGCTGACAAAAACAGAACTATCAACAGACTGTTCTGATTGTACAGTCACTTACATATATCCATGTGACTCTCATGTACTGCTCATACACAATCTGGCACCTGTGGAGGTGGATCTTAAATTTATTGAGGCTGCTTTGAATTTAATTATATTACAAATTCTCTACCACCCGACCACTGCATGCTATTGATTGCACATTAAAGCCTGGTGCAAATGGGATAACGCCGGCTTTAGAAATTCAAATCATGGGAGTTTTTCAGTCAAGCCCACTGGCCATTTGATTGATTATGTGACTCTGTGAGAGGCGGGAGATGATGAATGCATGTGGACTATTTTACATGTCCTCCATGTTCCCATATGGATGTGAAATGTAAAATTTGGCCTTTTAAAGAAGGTTAGCTCCAGACATATAAATGAGGTGGCTGAATTGCTCACACAGACACATCGACACAGAGAGGAGGAGGTGAGTTCAGAGGTCATTGTATATGATGTCAGACATTGACTGAAGTGTGTGTATATGCACCCTGATATGTGTTTCGTGTGTGTGTGTGAGTGTGTGAGGGAGAAAACCAATATCTCAGTTTAGCTTTATGTCCCCACAGTCCCCAATGACACATAAATGATGTTAAGTGCATGTGTGACCGGGTTCAAAGACATTAGCACTTACAGATTATTGCTTTGTGCTACAATTTACAACATTATAGCATTTTCATAGCCTCCGTGTTGCCTTGAGTCAAAGCGGCTACATAAAGACAAACATGAACACACATTTGCACAGGCATGGCTACAAATACACACACACTGCAAACATCACAGTGTGAATACAGTGTGAGCCATCTTTAAAGGTTGATTGAAGAACAAAGGCAGTTATGGTAATGACGCTGGAGACTTCAATGGGCAGAGACACAGAGTGGGAGGGAGGGGATTATATTTACCTGGCAAGTGTTTCCCTCTGTGAAGTCTCACAGGGGGCTCAACAGTGCTTTCTATTTATATCACCCAGCCTGCGAACTGCTCGAGTCGCCATTCATCACACTGATAACTGTCCTCAGCACTGAGTGGACGGGACGTGGTGGGGTCTCCGAGAGAACTGGGAGGGTGGTGCGGCAGACAATTTTGAAACCACGGTGTGTGATGTCTGCATGCAGTGTGATAATGATATGTCATTTTGATGTATGCATCTAATATGCAACACAGAGAGTAGAGTCTTGAAGAAAGACAGAGGCGTATTTTCTGTTTTATGCTTTCGGTTTTACATTGATACTATAATCAGGCGCAGATTGAGGTGTCAGGAACCAGTGGCTGTGACTGCTCCTGCTGATTCTTTTAAAATAAAACAGAAAATATGAAACAGAAAATATGCCTCTTTCTTCTTGGGAGTAACTGTATGGTGATATCTGTCACAAAGGTTTGGACTTTGGATAAAATATTTGTGGAAACTCTGGAATGCAGATGAGGTGAATAAGTTCCGCTTTAGCCTCACAAAGAGATTATCTCACAACAGCAGATATTGG